AAGCGCAAAAAATTTGATATTTCTGGTTGCTACAAATCAGAGGTAAAACGAAATGAAAACAATTTGGCTGTGGATGGAAATGGTAATCCAATACTTTTCWAAAATGTATTGTTCTCTATTATGTTTATAACTTTTTTCAGAAGTTTTTAATATGTTAAAAACTATTTCTGCACAATTAGAAGTACTGACGACAAGAGTATCCAATATGGAGAAAAAGATGGACAGCTATATGAAAGAAAATGTAAGTTTATATTGTTCTATAAGTATTCATCAATATAGAGAACGTATTGTTTTGTTATTGTATCTTCTAACTGCATACATACATATCTCTTTTCAGATAATTCATAAAAGCGAAGAAATGGCGCAACAAAAAACTGTGCGCGAATGTAAAGTTTTAATTAGAAAAATTCACCATTCAGTATGCCGACTGACTGGGGAAGAAATAGATAAGTTGCCTCCACGCTACCAATAACAACGATAGCTGCAGCATTTGAAATGGACGAGAAACTGAAATGCGAGGAATTTGCTACTGCAACGGTTAGTTTTTTGCTAAATATTTTCAATTTACAGAAACAGTTTATTTTAAAAACAAAGGAAAATTGAGATAATTTACATGATATGCTGAGACATATATACACTGACGAATTTTTGTTTTTATGTAACTGGGACGGTAGAGKAGGGAAACAACCCCTATCGAAATTTCTACTTGCATCTAACATATTATATGGTAAATTTAATATATATGTACATATTTAGTTAAGAGGATGTGTTTTAATTTGTCTCTTCATTATAATTTATTAGATTATTTCGTTACTTGTGGACTGGCGAATTTCGAAAAACAAATTCGGAAGTCCATCGAAATGAGCCACCATAGGTACAAACAAAAGAAATACAGGAAGCGAAAAGCTGTGGAGGAATCGAACGAATCCAAATAGATAATAATTTAAAAAAAATGTAGCAGGATTTAAGAACTGTCTCTTATACACATCTGCATCGAACGAATCCAAATAGATAATAATTAAAAAAAATGTAGTAGGATTTAAGAATGTATAAACAAAATTGAATTTTAATAGTGTAACTATAATAGCTTTAATATGAATGTTTATATTAAAGATCTACATCTTACTATGTAATTAAATTTTTCTTAAAAATATTTATAAAAATGAATTTAAAGTAATCTAATGTAATTAGAAAAATATAATAATATAGATTATTTTTAGCTTCTTAAACTCCAAAAATTATAATATAAAAGCTATTAATGAAATTAATATAGGCTATTGTAGAATGCACCTTCACGCTTTCCTGAAAGCAGTTTTGTCGATTTGTCTCAAATTTAACGAAAGTGTGAGGAAGAAGTATGTAGTTTTATTACGGCAAAAAATATGTGAGCGAGAAGGTGACAAAAAGTCACATGTATACAAAAGTTTTGGGAGCTTTTTTGATTCACTCTTAAGAAAATGATAGAAAAATGTGACAATTAAACTGGCACGTGTTACCGGCATGTCACTAAGTAACGTAACGGTCACTGTTCTAGCTGGGAACTTTATTATATACATATTCACATATACAAGATGTTAAGGAATTCATCATGAAATAGTTCAGTTTGTACGTACATGCTTGTGTGCTTTGATATAAAATATATAGAAAATATACATACATATGTATGTATGTATATAAATTATATGCAGTCGTTGCGCATTGTAAATATACGAATTTGTAAGCGTACATTTCTAAACATTGAAATTAACATATTTTTTCCGATTGGCTCTAACAACTACTCAGTTCTGTTATTGTCGTGCCCCTGATGTTAAGTGGTGATAATTTTCTGTGGTGAAACGCACTCATCCAAAACAGTAAATATCCCAAAATTGAAATATCCCTAAATTTTTGACATCGTGAACCTTCTCTATAAATATACGTTCTCTGGCGCTATGTTAAAAATACAAATTTAATAGCATAATAACTACGTATTGCTGAAACTAAGGTATAACCTAAATTTATTTTGTATTTGTGTATTAAAATCATTGGTGATAATGCTATTACAGTGTAGCGTTTGTATTTTTAAAATAGCGTCATCTGTTAGAATCTTTTTGAGCTAACAGATAATTGTGAATGTCAAATAATAAACAAATAATATCCAAATTTGCAATAATATAATATTGCGATTATAAATGGAGATGTAAACTATCCTATCGCTCAAGTTGGATCAAATTGCACACAGTGTGCAAACAAATTTAAAATCGGTTCAGTAGTTTAGGAGTCCACCGCGGACAAACAACGTGACATCTGATTGTTTAAATGAGTTAAGCATCCACCCCTCCACCCGGTAAAACTGGCGCATCCTGGTACAAACGCGCAACTCACCACAGTTGATGACAATGCAGCACAATTCAACACATCTGTACACCAACCCTCTCAACAAAACGGATGGGCAACGGGAAAGCAGACGCATTCGTTTACTCAATTCATTCGACACAATTCGACATATACAATGCGCTCATGAACATTCGACCTTTTTATATTTCATATTCAGCATTGCACCGCGGCAACATACGTTCCGATTATCCACCGGTCCTATGTGCTACGTTAATTCGAGTCGTCCACGATAGTCATCGATCCATCAGCAGCCAACGTTCTGTATTCGTTATTTATACATACATTCGTTTGTTACATTTCGCATATCAACATCCTTTTTAGACTTTCCATTCGACACTGTGCCGCACTTCCTTCGATCGACATCGTCCCAGTTCAACGCGATAAACTAATTAAACCATTGTTCTGTAAACAAAAGCTTATTTTAAATAAATTGTACCTTTGAAATTCACAAATCGCGCGATGTGAATGCAAATTGAAACCTCAAGAGACAGTGGTTTTGTATTCTCCAATAAATTGTCCTTCGAGCCTTAACGAAGGCACCTTCGGTTTTCCACAGACAAATTAAAAACATAATTAATTAACAATAATTAATATTTTTGGTGGCAAAAACCTCCGTGGGAATTAAAATGAAATATAAACCTTCAAATGCCGTGGAGAAGAACAAAAGTGCAAAAACAAAACAAAAAAAGTGTCCATATAAAATAACACAAAGCAAAGTAACTGGTGAACAAAAAAAAAATAGATATACTATAAGTTAGCACCAGCTAAGTTGAAACCAAAGCTAACACCAACAAAATTGCGCTAAGTCAACAATTACAAAGAACTGGGAAATAGCCCAGAAGCGCGCTCAGCAAAATTGTCAATATTCAGCAGCGCAATATCCGGCAGGCGCCGATCAAAATTCTGGATCGACCTAAAAAAGGAATAAGCAAAATAAAACACTTGCAACAACATCCGGCATGCGCCGACCAACACCAATTGCTGACACAGGTAGAAATAGGGTATATTTAAGAGAGAATAAGTAGAATTCGTTTTAGTATTAATGTTTTGGTGATTCAATAAAGGTCTTGCGACCAACAAAAAAATCTTTTTTTTTTTTAGACTTGTACAATACAAGTCGATAACTTATATATACATATATGTATATATAACAAACAAACAAAAAAGCAATCAAGCCAAAAGAGAGCAGTGTGCGCATTAGTTTCATTTCATATTTAGTATATGCACATATGTACATACATATGTATGTATTGAAAACTAAGCGAAAATCAATACCGAAACTGGTTTAATTTTTACGGCTGTACTATACTGTAATATTCAAATTAACGCATTTTAATCAAGTACATATGTATATGTTCTATTCTATATAATCACATGTTCACATACATGTATGTATATATCCTTTAATATACATATACATATATACTTACTTTGGTCCAATTCCAACAAACCAAAAATTCAAATATTTATGACAAATTTCCGGCAGCACCACTTGTGCTTAGTGAAGTAATAAACAGGACTGCATACGAAAATTGAGAAAGAAATATTTGARAATATAAACTGAAAAAAAAAAATAAAAACAGAAACAAAACAGCAAACATACATACACGTACGCATATCGATTTAATGCATATACCATAAATCATACCTACATATTGCGAAACATATTTAAAAGTGCATTTTTACATATAAACGGGTGCACCTTTTTTCAATTCCTTTTTCGCGCTCTCTTCCTAGAGCGAACATAAAAAACAGAATTGCCAATTGCTTAAAAACATAAACATAATACAAACAATTCGTGCATAGCTAAATAGCGCATTGATCTCTACAACGAGCTCTCAATTGCATAAAACAAAAGCACGTACAAATCCACGTATTAAGGTGTACCTAAATTCAAAACATTTGGACATCAAATATTTTAATAAATAAAAAGCACGGTTTAATTGCAATTTACAATTTAAATATACATATATTCAAAATAAAATATTTATTTAAAAACAAAAAGAAAACATCATTTAATTTAAATACAATGCGCTAGTAAGAAAAAATAATCAAAAATTATGAAAGTTGATAACAATCAAAATACACCTTCAGGAGCTACACGCTCAAAACAGGTTGCTAAATTTATTTAAGAAAATGCCAGTTTAACAAGATACCAGATTTGCCTCTTCACCGATTCAAGAAACTTTGAATTGTTGCTAGAAATCAAAATTAAAAATCTCAATAATTTTTGGATACGACTCCAAACGGCTCATGACACCATAGTAGAATCTGACAATTCAGGTCTAGCTCAAAATTTTAAATCATCGGCTTACGATATTTACGAAAACTGCTTGGACCAATATGAAGAAACGAAAGCTATGATCGCCGATCAATTAAAGCTAATTAAAGCAATTGTACCTACTCCATACCCGAGAGTAGAGCTGCCACAAATGCAACAATGTAAAGAGGCAAGTTTTGGCATCCAACTCGAGTTGCCCGCTTGTGACATAGAAATCTTTTACGGAGGTTATGAAGAATGGCCATCCTTCCGGGACATGTTCATGACCGTGTACATAAACCATGCTCAATTATTAAAAGCGCAAAAATTGTTACACCTCCGATACAAAACAAAAGGTCAAGCAGGCATAATAGTAAAACAGTTCTCTCTTAATGACGATAATTTTAATTTGGCTTGGGAAGCTCTAAAAGCTAGATATGAAAACGAAAGAATACTGGTCGATAAGCAAGTAACGACCTTATTAAACATGCCTAAAATCAAGAAGGAAACAAGTGAAGAATTTGTAAGACTACAATCCACTGTTTCTAATTGTTTGTCGATTCTGTCGACACAAAATATTCCCACAGATAGCTGGGACCCAATTCTGGTAAACATTTGAACCGCCGCATTACCAGAAAAGTCGTTACTTCTATGGGAGCAATCGCTCTCATCAAGAGTAAAGTGCCCAACGTGGCAACAAATGAAAGATTTTCTCACCATCCAATATGAAATTGCGGAAAGGTTAGAAGAAAAAATAATCAAAACTAGTAATATTAAACACGACTAAAATAAAAGCTTCAATAGACCCCAAGCTAGAAGCAAGAACAAATCAGATAGAATTTTTAACAAAATACAAGCGTTCACATCCGAACAAAGAAAACATTCGTCATGTGCTCTATGCACAAGAGGGTATAAGCTAAAAACTTGCGAAAAGTTTAAAAGATTAAATATTAACGAAAGGAACAACTTTGTCAGATCAAAAAGACTCTGAACAAACTGCTTGTCCCATACACATAATCTTAAAAATTGCAAAAGCAAATTTAACTGCTTATATTTTCATAAAAGACACAATTCAATTGGGGCGTTCACAACCTGTCTTAAAGCATCGTAAAGTCGTAAAATA